AATTAAAAGTACTTTTTCTATTTGTTTTTAGAAAGTTGTTTTTCTTTGAAAATTGCCAAAATAACCTATTAAAATGGAAAAACATAATTGATAAATATAAAATTTTTAAAATTGCTTAAATATATAGGAGACTTTTTATTTTTAGCAATGTAATAAAATGTTACTAAGTATTTTTATAGTTAAAAACTGCAGTTAACTCTGGGGTTTTAGTTGATTCCAGCGAGGAACCCACATGACAGTTCTTAGCTACTTACTACCTGTGGGGGCGTGGTGGGCAGAAGTAGGTTACAGTTGTGGTACAAATAAATAATACAATCGTTAGTGCATAATAATACAACTGTAACAATACATGATAATACACGGTGATACATTTCACAGACAACTGTAAACCTACTTTTGCCTGCCCCCGCATGCACACTTGTGAGTATTACAAGCTGTTCTGTATCGCAAAGATAGGGCCCAGAACGCGGACAGCTGGGACTTCTGGGAAGCCATGCTTCCCGTGAGTGTCTTTCATGCGAGTGGACGGTGCCGGGGTCTGTTCCGCCCTCGGTGTCTGAGAAGGACTTCGCAGGCGAGCCTGTCTTTTCCCTGCGCCAGGACTTGGGTGGTCCCTCGGTCGCTCTTGGCGGGAGCACAGCACGGAGATGCTGTCCGTCGCCTTGTGTTTCCGAGACACAGAACGAGAACTGGGGGGCGTTTCCCTGCGGACCGACAGCACCATCCCCAGGGCGAGGGCGATGGGGCCGGTGGCACAGTTATGTGTCCGCTGTGCCCACACGAAGCACCACGTCCCCGGTCACAGAGGCACCCATTTGTGATTGCAGGTGTGTCTGTGACTTGTGGGCCCCGACCTGGAGAGAACATACTTTATAACAGTGTGCTTAGCCGACCTGTAGCATCGAGGCATCTGGACAGAGGCCTGGAGTCTGGGTGGGGACACTGAGTCTTGGGAGAATCGATCTTTTGGGAAATAAGTATAAACTGTGAACGTTCCGTGGACGAGGTCGCCTCCGACGGGTGCCCTGGGACAACAGAAGCAGGTTTTATGGAAAGCTTTACTTGGAGGGGCTGTTTATCTTTCCATTTCTAGATATTGTTTATCTTGTTTAGACTTGAACTACATGCTGTTTAGCCTCAAAGCATCCTTGCTTCAGATATTCATTGCTACACCCACTGTCAATAAAAATAAAACAAAATCGACTCCATGATTTAGGATGAGATGTGTAGAATGTGATGAAACATATCATTGCTGAAAGTGCTAGTGTTGATGTTTGCTTGGGGTCGTCTCTGATTTTGTCTGGGAAGCCTTCATGGATGAGATGGAATTTTTGTTGCCTCTGAAAGACTGGAACTCTATGACGAAGAAGCAATGTGAAACAGATTTTAAAGCAAACGAAAGGCGTACAGAAAGAGCGCACCTTTGGCCAGCTCCGATAGCAGGTGTGTCTGGTTGGTCTAGAACTCGCCTCAGCTTCCTAAGACAAGCTTATCAAACAGCACTGCGCACTGAACACAATTCTTTAAACACCCGCAGAAAACTATGCAGAGCCTTCAGTAGGGTGATTCTGAAGTAGTGCTTTTGTTTAACTGTAGGCTGTTACAACTAATCTTCAGAATCGTTTAGCTCAGTAAAGACTTTTATGTCACTGGCTCAGCTTGGAAAAGTGAGCTAATTACTGTGCTGGGAAACTACGCATGTCATTTTCAGGGGGAGGTAATAGCTCTGCCCACAGGATATCCAAGATGTAGATCAGTAAGTAGCATTTACTTCCATGAGAGCAGAGTCCAGTTAAATGTCCTGCTGCGATGTTAGACACAGCACCACACAGAGAGGAGGAGGCCGCTTGGTTAGGCCGTGACTCTGAAAGTAGTAGGGGGAGATCAGCCGTGTAGTTTGTATGGAATGGCACAGAATTTGGGGATAAAACCTGTAGATAGTCCATGCATTTTTCCCCTTCTCTCGCTACTTGCTCTGGGTTGTTTTACTGATGGGAGACTAGAAAAGGAAAATTTCAAAACAATAAAATCCCAGTTACATGAACTACTATCTTGAGAACTGTGGGCCAGGCGTTGAGCTGAGTTCTCCATGTTCACTGTCTCATTTACTCCTCAGTAAATGAGGAGGACATACCATGTCCCTGCATCTGTAAGGTGTGGCTGGAAAAACGGAGACTTAGGAAGTTCAGCAATTTGCCCAAGGTCACGTGACCATCCATGGTCGCGAGCCTGGATTTGATCCAAGCCCATCTGAGAGCAAAGAATGGGCTCTGCACCGTGTACTCTTATATTCCGCTGCTCCCGAGAGACGGGGTGGGGGGCGTGAAATGGAGGTAAGGGCGCAATCAAAACCCCAATGAGCTAGCACTTCACACCTGCTAGATTTTAGTAATTTTTAATGAAAAAAATAACACGTGGTAGCAAGGATGTAGAGAAATCGGAACTGGGAATGTAAAATGGTGCAGCTACGGCGGGAAACAGCCCAGCAGTTTCTCCAAAAGAGAACCAGACGTAGCGCAGAATACAGCACCTCCACCCCTCGCTACCCACTCGAGAGATAGCCACACAAAAACCTGGGCAAAGTTGATCGCAATGGCATTAACAGTAGGCAAACAGTGAGAACAGCTCCAATGCCCACCGGCTGGCGAGTGGATAAACAAAATGTGGTACATCCACACAGTGGGAAGTTGTTCAGCGACCAAGAGGGATGACGCCTGCTACGGTGTGGAGAAATTGCGAAAACACGCCGAGCGAAATAAACCCGATACGAAGGACCAAATAGTATGATTTCACTCATTGAAGTGACATGTCCAGAATAGGGTAATCTACAGAAATGGGAAGTAGACTAGTGGTCACCAGGGACGGGGGTGGGGGAAGGGGCTGGGAAGTGACTGTTAATGGTCTAGGGTTTCTTTTTGGACTGAAGAATGTGTTCTGGAATTACGTCCTGGGAATGGCTGTACAACCTAGTGAATACACTAAAATCCATCGAAGTGTACACTTTAAAATGGTGAGATATATGTTGTGTGAACTAGACCTTAACTTTCAAAAAGAGCAATTTTGGGCCAGATCCCAGAGGTCCTTGAATGCTGGACGCAGGGAACCGCTGGGCATTTCTAAGGATGTCGGCACAACGAGAGCCACGGGAGTGTGGAAAGGGCTCGGTGCAGAGCACATGTTCAGTGAACGGCAGCTCTCTCACCCTCTCCCTCCACCCATCCCCAACTCAAGACCAAGCCTCCGTGTCTCCTGTGGGGGGAAAAGAGCTGTTTTCTGTTGAGATCCTAACAGCAAACCCATCTGTTTTAGTCTAAACCACTGTTGCTGTCAGTCCCTCCGGTGGTCTTCCCATGGACGCTGGATGCATCTTTGCATCTCTGAAGCATCCTTCTCCTCTGCTTCCTCCCGCTCCTCTTCCCCTCCTTCCCTTCTTCCCTCATAGATCTCACTGCATCCACCAGTGTAACCTGGCCATTACATTCTGTGCTTCCCCTTGTCCCCATTTTCCTGTTTCTCCTTCCTTCTCCTCCCCCAACTCACCCACGCAGCAAGGAGCACAGTATAAGCAAGTCAGGTCGTCCCAGGTTCTAACCCCGGCTCCCCATCCTGCTATCTGGCTAGACGCATAGCCTCAGCGTTCTCACTCACATAATGCTGTCCCAGTAACAGCAACTCCTGGGGTCCACTTGAGGACAGCACTCATGAGGGTGCTCATGGGACGCCTCGCACATCCGCTGCCCCCAATAAATTACAGCCATAGCAGCACCTGTCATCAGAGCGAAGGGACAGTATATTATTGCACAAGGGCTGGTCCTTATTCCTCTAATCGCAAATGTTTTAGGAACATTATGAAGTGACAAAAGCCTGTCTTCAAAGTCATCCGAGAAATGTCCTTACACTAGAGAGATGCTTCCAAGAAATGTCCCAAAGGCCATTGTTAAGGGGGATTTTAGGGTCAGCAAATATCAAGTGAGCTGCCACGGAGAGCTGAGCTGCGGGGAGGGAATTTCCCGCAAGGCCCGCCCCCGGGCTGAGTCACTGGGGGCGGGGTCCCTCACTGCAGCCTGTTTCAAGCTGCAGAGCCTTGCTGCTCCGCACACGCACTCACACTGCACACGCACTCACACTCGGAGTGGAAAGTTCTTCGCCAGCCCGGAGATCTCCAGGTTCGTTCATCTGGGGCAGGCAGGGGGAAGCGAGCTGGGCGAGGGCAGAGGCTTCGTTTTTCTTGGTACCTTACTAGACTTTTTCCCCTTCTAGTTGCTACTAACATCTCTTCCATAGCCCATTGAATAAAGATCAAATAAAGATCTCTAAACAGATTTTCTTTTCACACCTTGGTCCTGTTACTGTCCGAGCCTCAAATCTCGAAATGGGCCAGTACGCCGATTAAGAAGGTGTGGCGGCAGAAGGAGTGGGGTCATTGACATTGTGACACTTTGTGCTGCCAGGCGGGTGCCAGGCTTGTGGGGGGATAGCCTTGTGAGTTATACGAATGTCTAACCATTACATTGTGCACCTGAAACTAATAGAATAATGAATGTCCACTGTCACTGAAGTATTAAAAAGGGTATTTTATTGTGAGAAAGAGTTGAGCAGACAGGTGTTTCAACATTTTAGCAATTAGTTGTTGAACTCTGTGCATACCACTCAGACAAGTGGCAATAGAGAGAGCGTCTCATTCAGCTGACTTGCTAGGTGTCCCCGAAAGAGTCTGTTTTTGAGGGTTATATTTCAGGGTCAGCAAGCAACTGGCGTGGCTGAAGTCTGGATGCTAATGCCAAGTGTCCATGAAAGTCCCCAAAAGTTTTTGCCATTGTTACTTCTGTGTTTTGGCAAATCTGGTTGGGAACTGTGCCCTCACACTGAGGCAAGCGTGCACGAAGCCCTCTGCTTAGTCATGGGTGTCCTCTCGTGGAAGTTTCTATGAATCTGTTGCCTTCCCTTCACTGACTGTTCCTGAAAGACTCTGAGCTGTGGTCTTGTGGAATTGAGAAGTCATGGCTGGGATGCATAAGTCTGAAAGGAGAAGCCGCCTCATCCTCGTGAATTTCTGCCTTTCACAGAGTGCTACCGGTGAGACAGCAACTCTGGTTAAAGTTCTTTCGGAGGCTGCTCTTACCAGCACCACATCTGTGCAAGACTGTGCCATGGGAAGTGGGTACTACAGCCTTGTGGCCACCGCGCTGCTGGTCATGAACTTTGACAGGACGAGGTCCACGCGGGATTCCTGTAGCGACTGTCCAGCTGGTGAGAACCGAATTAATGCGTGTGCTTGAGCTCTGTTTTAATGACCTTTTATTCATCCCTTTACAAATACTTCTTGGATGCTGCATCTTAGCTGTGTGAACAGGGCTGTGGCCCTTAATTCCTATGGCCCCAAATTTGTCATCGAGGGACAATAAGAGAACCCATTCCATGGATGGGCTCCCAGCACAGCAGGTGTGTGAGCACCTGTGCTCAGGTGGGGGGCCCCGCAGGGGGGCAACAGGAGGCAGGGATGGGGGCCGGGCAGGGGAAGGCAGACATGGGTACCCATGAATCCTGTCCTGTCGATCCAGCTCCATCCAGAGAAATCATTGTGTTTCATTCCATAAATGAAGGAAACCATTTTCTTCCTGTTGGCTTATTTGCTGCAATGTCTATACTTGGTGATTCTTATTTCTGAGGTTATACTGAGGGCCATCTTGCAAATGTCTACTTTTAAAAAGCTCACCAACGAACACAAAGTCTATCACTGTGGCACCTAGAAAAGGAATTGTCGTTCCATGTGCTAGTTTTCTTGTGACTGTCACAGTGCCTTGGCGGCAGTAACCCGCTGTCCGGTGTGTGCAGCTGTGATCTGCCTTTCTCAGGTACTTTCTGTGGGAAAGACAAGAGTCAGATGTGTGTTCCCTGCCCTTCAAACAGCTTCTCCGGCACCAGCGGACAAAAGGCCTGTGACATCTGCAGACTGTGTGAAGGTAGGAGTTCTGAGACATCTTTTTAAAAAAAGATTTACTTATTTTTAGAAAGAGGAGAAGGGAAGGAATAAGAGAGGGAGAGAAATATCAATGTGTGGTTGCCTCTCGTGCGTCCCCTACTGGGGACCTGGCCTGCAACCCAGCCATGTGCCCTGACTGGGAATCTAACCAGCAACCCTTTGGTTCACAGGCTGGTACTCAATCCACTGAGTCACACCAGCCAAGGCTCAAGATGTTTTCTTCATTCGGGGGCATGTTGGGGAGCCCAGATTTCCTCCCCTTGTGTGCTGGCCTTGACTGAGAGCCAGGTGTCAGATGCTGGTCACCTGCCCATAGGCAGGTCCAGTAAAATAATGTACAGTAACAGCAGTTATTTGTGGATTGAGCTTTTTAAATATTAGAGGAAACACACATTTTATAAGAGAGAAATCTTTCATCGGAAAATGTAAACATGTCTTTCACTGGGATTCAGAAGGAAACGTTATCCTTGGAGGCCAGTGAAGGTTTTAAGCAGAGGGAGCGTGGTTTTTTTGTTGTAGGATGTAAGTTCGCTCCCAGGATTTGGAGGTCGACCCTCATCTAACATTGGGGGGGCTTTGCAGGTGTTTTCAGGACCAAGAAGCTCTGCTCCCCCACCAGCAACACCGAGTGTGAGTGCGTCTTGGGGTTCCACTGCCGGGGGCCCGGGTGCGCCATGTGTGAGCAGGACTGTACACGAGGCCAAGAATTAACCAAAGACGGTGGGTGTGTCCTTTGTCCTCTCGTGTGAGTCTGTCCTGCAGACGGATGCCATTCGCTTGGGTCCTTGTTATTATGTTTTATCTTTTGAAATTTCACTTAGCACAGATTCACTGTGGCAACTTCACAAGCTCAGAGCAAACAGAATAATGCCTCTCAATAAGCCAAAGAAAGAAATAACATACTCCACATAAAAGGCAGATTAATCACACTGTTGTTGCAGGCAAGGGAGGGGAAGGGACAAAGCCCAAAGTTGAGGGGGGCGTACCTTTCCTGCTGGAAGACGCTCGGGGAGGATGGCCAGCCGGCACCGACTTCCGGCTGCCAGCGCACTGGCTCTCCATCTCTGAACGCAGAATAGAGCACAGACCTGTGGGACCTGAAAGTGACAAGCAGTGAGCCCCTCAGTCGAGTGTCATGTGTGACATTTACAAACTGTTCCTCAATCAACGGCAGTGATTGGGAGTCACGTCTGTCACTCCCTGGGACCATCGTTTTCGCCCACTTTGCACAAACAGATGCAAAGCTGTGTCCGACCGGAATGGAGACACCCATCCTTAGGGTTTGCTTTGGAGAATCTGTGGCCAGTCTGTGGAGGAGGAATGACGTCAGTGGCTGTATGACGTGATTAGGTTCATCACAGGGACAGTGAGCAAAGAATGAAAATCCGTCCTTTTTAACTGTGGCTTTTATTTCTGTGCAAGGTTGTAAGGACTGCAGCTCGGGAACATTCAATGATGGGAAGTTCGGCACCTGCCAGCCCTGGACAGAGTACGTATGATTTCCTTTTGCTTACAAAATGAAGAATTTGGGTTAACTCTTTAAAGACAAAGCATGTTATCGTGGAAGCTTTTACAAATCTGTCAAGTATGGACATAGGATGACACACTACTGGGCAGTGTGGGGACAGGGCAGGGTGACAGCAACTTCACACACACGGCAGGCAGTCGCTCTCTCCGGAAACACTCTCTGCTAATAGGCTCACCTTTCTGTCTGCAATGTCCACCACCGAGAATGAAATACGAGGATGTGACTGCCCTCCGAAATGTCACATGTCCTCGGGCAAACGAGACCATCGCAGGGAGTAGAGGTGGCCAACAGTGCACGCGGGGACGTTCCCGTTGACTCGTGTGACCGGGGCTACTCCGAGCGTGGTCTGCGCACAGGTGCGGGCCCCAGTCGGTCCCGTCCACAGCGAGAGCACACGGGCCCCAGGAGTTAGCGGTCAGACACAGGGCAAAAGGGCAGCCACGGACACCTGCCAACTCCACTGAGAGAAATGCGGGTCTCTTTTCATATAGCATCTAAAATGTTGTATTTTATATGCCTTTGCTCTTGTTTCATTTGGTTTTCTTACTAGAAAATCATCTTCATTATTATTTTACACTTACATTTTTATTATGTTTACAAAAGTATTGGTTTGTAACAGATTGGAAAGTTGTGGGTTTTTTTTTCTTTTTGTCTTTCATTACAAATCATTTAGAACCATCGAATGAGTCCACGTGGAAAGTGGAAATGAACTGGGCTTCGGGTGGCTGGGGGTAGGTTAATGGGCAAAGGAAAGACGTAGGGATGATGACGGTGGCAGCTACCGTTTACTGGGAGTGAGTCAGGCAAGTGAAAGTGGTTCGTTGGTTTGCTCTTCAGCAGAAGCCCGGGAGCACGCACCCCTTACTGTGCAGATGAGAAACAGAGGTTTGGGGGGACGTCCCCACTGGCCCAGGTTGCTCCGCACAGGGATGTCCCCAGGGCTCTGGCCCTGGTCTCTGTCTGGTGACAGCACGTCCTGGGATTAGGACCTTCCGACCCTCCTCCAAGTTGTCTGTCCTTCTGTGTCCAAGCGGTCGGGGTGGGGCTGAGAGACTGACCAGGCCACAGTCGACACTGGCCCAGGACAATGCTCCGGAGCCTCGGAAGGAGGAGCCCAGTGCGGTCAGGTCGGGTGGGGCGAGTCTCGGAGAACCACGAAGGCTGAGTGGACCGGCTGGAGGAAGCCAGATGGTCAAGTGGACGTTTTTCAACACATCTGGACAAAGCCAGACCCACGCACCTTCGTGCCTGGGCTGCTTCACCGGGTGGAAAATGTCAATGTTTTTAATGAGCACGATCTGTCGCTAAATTAATTATGGGAACTCTTTTCATTGGACTGCCCAGCTGTTCTCTGGACGGAAAGACTGTACTTGTCAATGGGACGAAGGACAGTGACGTGGTGTGTGCACCAGCCCTGGCTGACATCTCCTCAGGTACGTCCTCGGCCACCGCACTCACACCTGTGACAAAGCCAGGCAGCCGGTCTGTTGCTGTCAAACCGACAGGACCATGTCCTGGCTCTTCCCAAGGGAGCAGGACAGGCCTCAGCATCCCGAGGCCTCCGGTCTCTGCCACGACAGGTGCCCCAGCGCACTTCCTTCTCTTATCCTGGCATCAAGGGACCATCGGTTCTGTAGGCGCTTGTCATTTAGTCTGAGACACACTTAGTACGCTGAGCCAGGTGAGACTCCACCCGAACAGTACTACAACCTCAACAAAGTCCAGTGAAGGGGATGACAGAGTCCTATATTTTCTGTATGAAATCCAGAAAGGCCCAGTGTAGAAAAGCCAGAGCACCCCACTTCTGGAGGCCTCTAGGAAAATTATGGAGGTTGGGAAAAAAGCTTTAACACACATGCAAGTTTACTAAGTTGGCCGGTTGGAGATGCCCAAGGGACCTCTTCTCCCTGCGATTAGGGTTTGCAAATGGAAGTGTACATGCAAAGTGACAAGCACCCCTCCTTTCACTCTTTCTTCAAGGCCACCCCTCCCAGGTCAGCCTGCTCCTCCTCGTGCTGGCGGTGACGGCGGCGCTGTCCCTGTTGCTCCTCCTCATGCTCCGCTTCTCTGCGGTCCAACGGGGCCGGAGGAAACTCCTGTACATACTCAAGCAACGTAAGGCTAACTAACCCAAATGTGTCTGTCACACAGGAGCTCTTCTGAGGCAAGGCTTTTCACGGGAGAAAGGAAAAGGTGGCAGTCTGTGGGAGTTCTAGAAGCTGGGTTAGGGCAGCACTGTGATTACCAAAACACAGGCAGTTCTGCCCCCAAGGGGACGTGTGGCAACATCTGGAGACAGTTTTGGCTGTCCCTACCTGGGGGGTGGGGAGGATGGTGGGAGGGAGGCTTCTGGCACCCGGTGAGTGGTCCATGATGCTGCTAAACACCCTGCGACACACAGGCCCGCCCCACAGCAAAGAGTTATCTGGCCCCAAATGTCAATAGTGCTGAGGCCAAGAGAGCTGGACATAGCAGAACATAATCCAGGGATTCTAGAAAAATGATAATGGAAGTATGTGCAGTCTTGGATAACTCTGTGTGTGTGCACAGGTGTGAGGCCAGCCAGCTGTGCACACAGGACACTGGCAGAGAGGAATCCAAAAATCACGGCCGCCCCACTGAGCCCGGCTCCTCAGCCTGGCTGATGGCCTGAACCTGAGTTGGACCTGAAGGGAGGAGACACAGAGAACGCGGGGTGGGGCGGGTAGGGTGTTTGAGAAGGTTTAACGAAATGGATTAAGATCTGAATGAAATGAGAGACTTTAAGAATGGGTTTCCTTCATTAAACTAAGATACTATTTTCTTATGGGATTTGGCACATGCCTACCAAGAGTGAGTATTCACTAAATGAAACCTATTAGTATTTTTTTCCAAAAAAGTTTATAGATGGGGCAGCCTGGTTTTTGTCTTCGTGGAGGACAGAACCAGAGATCCAGGCTGGGCTTGATAAGAGGGATTCGTCTGCAGGTGGAGTGCTCTGGGAGCGCTGTGCTGGGACCCGAAATGTTAAGAAGATAGCAGGGACAGGAAAAGTCAAGGCTTATCTAAAGATGCGCCACACTAACTTGTGTAAAGGTCTTTTGAAAGACCCTTTGAAATGAAATCTCGTTACATGGTACAATGTAACACACAGGAAAAAAAATGCAGCCGTGTAAAGTGTAGGAAATTGTTGTGGAAGGAACAGCAACCGCATCGCCCCACCCGTGTCAGGAAACAGGAGGGCCTCTGCTCCCCGAAGCCCTGCACGCCCTCCCTTCCAGCCAAAAACGGTCCCTCCCCACCAGCGCTGGCCACACTCACGGTTCTATGGTATTTCCTCCCTCGCTCTTACAGTTTTGCTACCTAACCACACAATTTAATTTAGTGACTTGTGAACTTCTATAAGTGAAATCACATGTATCTATTCTGTTTTCTGTTTAGCCTGTATTTTCTGTATCTAGTCTGTATCTGCCTTCTTTCATGCAACACTGTATCACTATGATGCATGCCTGTGTTGCGTTCACCTTTGCCGATTTCTACTGTGGAATACTTTGTATTGAATGACCGTATCAGTGTTGATTCTCTTCTAATATTGATGGATACTGAGATTATTTCCAGTCTGAGGCTGTTACAGACAATGGTGCTCCGATATTTTTGACTTCTCGGCCCAGCACACCTATGATGCGTGTCTCTGTGTTGTTTTTTTCTTTTAACTTAGAAATAAAATTGCTGGGTCCCTAGTAGACCTACCAAGCTGTTTTCCGGCATGGGGTGACTCCGCTCGTGCCGGCCCGGCAGCATAGGAGAGCTCCTGGTGCACCAGTCCTGGCTAACACTCGGGTTATCAGACTTCCTCCTTGTTAACTGTGTGGTGGGGAGAGAGTAGACCTCACTGCGGTTTTCATTTGCATTTCCCTGATTTCTAGAGAGATGGGGCTTTTTTCACATTATATTTCACATAAAAGAGGCAATCCAGATTGCCTCTTGTGAAGTGCCTGATCAAGTCTTTTGAGCATTCTTTTATTGGGTCGTCTGTCCTTTTCCTATTCCTGCACAGGAACCCTCTGGCCCGTTTTCCTGCACTGCCACCCTTCCTCCACTCTGTGGTTTGCTCACCGATTCTCGTTCTGAGGTCTGAACCTTTGATTTAAACTTCTGGGCTCCCACCGAAACCTCTCATATAGAGAACTAACCTTCTCATCTTCACCCAAACTGCAATAGAGTTCTTTACAAAATGATTTTCAGAAGTATTTATGAGTAATCTGTGAGTTGCAATGGAACTATATTCCATTAAAAAAAATTCAGGTCATTTTTAGAAGCTTTCTATTTTGAAATGATTGTAGATTCACAGGAAGTTGTAAAGACAGAGCAGAAAAGTCTCATGGGCCATTCATTGGGTCACATTTCATGTAACTATAGCGCAACATCAAAACAGGCAAGTGATGTTGGTGCATTGTGTGTCTACACTCATATGTCACTGTCACACGTGTGTACTGGTGTAACCACCGTACGACCCAAGCACAATATTCCACGACCATAAGGATCTCTCTCCTGCTCCATGGTCACATCCGCATTCTCTCCCCCTTGGGGACGGTCCCAATGACTGCCCTAAGCCCTGGCAACCACGAATCTGCTTTCTATCCTTACAATTTTGTCACTGAAGAATGTTACATATCAGTGGAATCGTACAATACGTAGATGGACCATGAATATATAACCTTCTGAGACTGGCTTTTTTTCATGCCACTGAGATGGGGCCAAGTTGCCGCACTTCCACAATCTACTCTTTTTACCTCGGGCTGGTACTCCGCGGTGCGGGTGTGCTGGTCTACGTTCTGTTCCCCTCCGGAGAGACGCCAAGCTGTGGACATAAGTTTTCGTATCTCTAAGATAAATGCCCAGGGGTGCAGTTCCTAGTCATACGGTAGGAGTATGTTTGGTTTTGTTAGAAGCCACCAGACCAGTTCCCAGAGAGCCGTCCCATCCAACACTCCACCAGCGGCACGTGTGGCATCCAGTCTCTCCTCCCCCTGCCAGCACTCGGGGGGGCCGCGGTTTCTTACTTCGGCTTTCTAAAAGCTGACAGCTCCTTGTGGTCTCAGTCTGCCTTTCCCTAAGAGTCGAACACCTTTCCATACACTTATTTTCCATCTGCCTTTGTTCTTCGGCGAAATGGTCCTTCATGTGTTCTGCCCATCTCCCAACTGAAGTGTCTGTTGCTTTGCCACAGACATTTGAGAATTCTGAGTTTCACCTAGACGTGAGTCCTGTGTCAGGTGCGTGGTTTGTAGAAGTATTTTCTTCCAGTCTCTAGCTTGCTTTTTCATCCTCCTCATGGGGTCTTTGGCAGAAAAAAAATATTTTAATTTTGATAAAGCCCAATTTTGCTTTGTTTTTTTTTTGCATTTATGGAGTCACAGCTAAGAAGGCTTCATCAGGTCCTAGGTCACAAAGATTTAGATTTTCTCTTACGTTGTCTCCAACACGTTTTGCATTTAACTCTGTGGTTCATCTTTAGTCAGGTTTTGTATAAGGCATGAGAGGGTCAGACCCAGACGCCTGCTGCTGCTTTGGCCAGTGGATGTCTGCTGGCTCCGCCACCCTTTGTTGAAAACATCATGCGTCCTCCACGGAATCGCTTCCGTGCCTTTGTTAGAACCCAGTGGACTGTGCCTGTGCGGGGGCTGTTTCTGGCTCCACGCCCCCGCCCCCCGATCCACATGCGTGTTCTTTCGCCAGCACCACACAGTCTGGATTACTGCAGCTGCTGAAGGCCTGAAAACTGGGTAGAGGTTAGAGTCCTGCTGCCTACTTCTTCTTCAGAATCGTCTTAGCCACTCTAGTCCCTCTGCACTTCCGTATACGTTTTCGGATAATCTTATACGTACCTACAAAAAGTCAGCAGGGTTCTGATGGCAGCTGTGTTAAACCTGAACAGCAATGTGGGGACATGGACATCTTTGCTGCCTTACGTGTTCTGGTCCATGAACACCACCTGTCTCCATTTATCTGTAGTTCCTTTGATTTATTTCATCATCATTTTATAGTTTTTGGCATACAAGTCCTGTACATGTTTTGCTAAATCTAGGCCTTAGAATTTAATTTTTTAAAACAACTCTAAATGGTATTTATCCTGAATTTTGGTCTCCACGTGTTCATTGCCGTAGGGATAAAACCAATGTTTGTATATTGATTTTGTATCCTGTGTTTTTGCTGAACTCACTTGTTACCTGTAGGAGTAGTTTGTAGATTTCTTGGGATTTTCTGGATAGGCCGTAATGTCATCTGCAAATAGGGAAGTTTTGTTTTCTCTTTCTCTTTGTGCACTTTTATTTCCTTTTCTTGGCCTACTGTGCTGGACAGAACTTCCAGAACTGCGCTGGGTAGGAGTGGTGAGCGAGCATCCTTGTCCTGCTTCTCATTCTAGGGGCAAACATTTCGTTTTCACCAGTAAGTGTGACGTGTGCTGTGGATTTTTAGTGGATCTTGTGTATCAGGCAGAGGAAGTTCCCCCTCTGTCTCTCGTTTTCTGAGAAGTTCTTTAAGAACCATGAATGAGTGTTGAATCTCATCACAGGCCTTCTCTGAAACAGCTGATATGACCATGTGATTTTCTCCTTTGTGCTGCTCAGATGATGGCTCACACAGATTCATTTTTTTTAAATCCTCACCCAGGGACATGCTTACTGATTTTAGAGAGCGGGGAAAGGAAGGCGGGTGAGAGGGAGAGAGACATTGATTGGCTGTCTCTCATATGTGCCTTGACCAGGGTCCGAACCTGCAACATAGGCAGGTGCCCTGACTGGGAGTTGAACCCGTGGCCTTTCAGCCCAAGGGATGATGCTCAACCAACTGAGCCAACCCGCCAGGGTCATGGGTCCATTTTTCAACATTGAACCAGCCTTGCATCCCTGGACCAAACTCTGCTTGCTCGTAGTATATAATTCTTTTTCTAAGTCGCTAAATTGTATTTGCTAATATTTTGTTAAGAATTTCTGAAGCTACATTCCTGAGAGATATTGATTTGCAGTTTTCTTTCCTAGTATTATCTTTGTCTGGTTTGGGTGTCAGAGTAATACTGGTATCAAAGAATAAGTTGAGACATGACATCTCATTGGTATTTCTGAGTAAGTCTTGCCAGTTTTTCATGAATTCTTGGAGACAGTGCAGTTTGGGGGTTTCAGTTATTTTTTGTAGTTAGCATGTAAAATTGGGGCAGGGCCTTTTGCTTTGTCAGTCTATAAAAATATCTCTTTAGGATTAAATTTGTTCAGCAGTAACACAAACACTTTACGCGGATGTAAAAGAAAACCCGGAAGCTGATGCGCATGAGTCAGTTCTTTACTTACTGACTGGTGGAAGTAGGGGCTCGTCTTTAGCATCTTGGTGCCACGAGCCTTGCTTCGGAAGAAACTGTCTAATGCGCAACTTAAGTAACCCTCACTGAAACTAGTTACATTTGGAAATGATACATTTCACTTCCTTTGGAAGAAACTGTCTAATGTGCAACTTAAGTAACCCTCCTTGAAACTACAGTTACATTTGGGACATGATACATTTTAAGCCTTAGTGATTCATGCTCAAGAGTGTATTTTTATCCATTACATAAAATAAAGAATATAGTTTTTCAGAACCAACAAAAACATTTGGTAAAAAGGAAAAAATCTTAAATAATCCTGAGAAAAAAGTCCATGCTCACCATCACCTCTTTTACTGATGAGATGCTTCACATTCAAGTGGAGGATGTTTGCGGGTTACAGATGTTTGTTCCACAACTATGATTTCTAGAGAGCAAATGTTACATGATCCAAACAGATAACCAAAGATGAGTATCTCTGAAATTACTTTTTAGCATTTATGAAACCAGTGCAAACTGCCCAAGAGGAAGATGCCTACAGCTGCGGATTTCCGGAGGAAGAAGAGGGAGAAGAATGCAAACTGTGAATGGAAATCCCGGAACTGCTGGGGCTCTTGCAAGAAGAATTGAAGGAGCAACAGGAGGACCCATGACTGTGGCTTTTCTGTATTGAAAAACGCAGTCCTGGACAATACCCAGGATTACCCACATTTCTTCTATAGTGTTTACTTTATTTTATTATTTGTCTCAATTCACTGATTTTAGAGAGAGGGAGAGGGAGAGAAAGCTCAATCTGCTGTTTCACTTCCTTATGCATTCCTTGGTTGGTTTTCATATGTGCCCTGACCACGGATTGAACCCTTAACCTTGGCTCATTGGGAAAACACTCTAACCAATCGAGCTACCCTGCCAGGACCAAGTTTCTTCTAAATGCTAGTGAGTCAGCCTTTAAAAATACATTGCTTTTGACAGAACAAGGATGGGAGGGAACTGGTAGTAAAGGGGCATTTTCTAGATAGTACTTGACAGATCTGGGCTAGTTTTTGTGAGTTTCAAAGAGAATTATATTTTAAATTTAATCATGAGGACACATGGCCCAGCCGATATCATCCAGGGCGAGTGTGTGTGTGTTCACAGGACACTCGACAGCAGGCTATAAGATGCAGGAAACAGCCCCAACCGAATGTCCTTTTGGCTCTGTCCCTCCCCACAATGGCCTTCTCCACTGCTGCGGGCACAGGGGGAGTGCCGGAGTTGGGGAGGGTTCTGGGAAGAGTTCCGATGTCCCAGCGTGCCCTGGGGTCCCCGCCATCGTCACACCCTCTGCCTCGCTTCTGCTCCCCTCTGAGCCAGGGCTTACATTTTTTTTTATTCTTAAATGCTTAAAAATACTATTTCCTGCCCCCAAACTGATACATGAAACAGGAATGAAACACATTCCCTGAATGAAGACCCATGAGCCCAACCGGAGAGCCGGAGCAGGGGCGCCACACTCCCGGGGCCACCTGCCTTCGCTGGGCTCCGGAGTGAGGAATAGTTTCTGTGTGGTTTTTACAACCAAGAGAAGGGCAATATCTCACGACATGTAAAATTATATGAGACTCACATTTCAGAGTCTGTAAATAAAGTTTTATTGGGACACACAGCCACACCCCTTACTTATGTCTAAGGCAACCTTTGAGACACAACAGCAGAGCTGAATGATTGTGACAAGGGACTCTGTGGCCTGCCAAGCCTAAAATATTTACGATCTGACCTTTTCTAGGGTCAAAGTCAAGGTCAGAGCATCCGCCTGTGTGCTGCTTCTCTCCCTCATCTCCTGCCTACCTTCCCACCCACCCCCACGCAACCTCTCTCAGGAAGGTGGGGTTTATCACCCTGGCTTTTAAAAAGATCATTTATTATTATTATTATTATACACTTAAACTATTTTATTTAGTTGTGTTTGTTTTTGAGATTCCTGAAAATGATATTGTGCTGTGTGGGGACCTCAGTGACTTTGCTTAAAGACTTAAAATTATATTTATAAGACTCACTCATGTGGTGGTGTGCAGCTACAAGGCATTTGTCTTGACTGCTTCATAATTTTGCAAGTAAATTATGAATTATCCATCCATTTCCTACCACAGGACAGGCAGGCAGTTTCCAGGGCTGTGTGCCTGAGAACCATGCTGCTGAGACTGTTCTTTACCTGCGTCCTGTGCCAGATGGCCTCTGGGAAACTTCCTTGGGGTTAAATTTCTGGTTAAATGTACAACTTATTTCTTATATGGTTAATATTGTTTTTTGTTTCCTGTTTGAAGAAACCCTTCCCTGCCCCAATGTCATGAAGATATTTCTTCATATTTTATCCTAAGAGACTTGAGTTTTGTCTTTCGTGTTTAAGTCTGATCCATCAGGAGTGCTTACTGTTGCGAGGTCATGATCTGATCTTGAGGGTTGCGGATGGACAGCCGTGGTCCATTCCCATTCATGCACTCATTCCCTGGGCCGTCTTCCCCCAGGGGTCTGCTGTACTGTCTGTCAACCAACCAGGTGCCACAGACCTAAGCCTGGGCTTCCGTCCCATTGGCTTGGGACAGGTGCATTGGCTTGCACCGTCTTTGTTACAGTAGCTTTAGAACAGCTCTTGACGTCTGATAGAGTAGGTCTCTAATTTAATGCCCTTCAATAAAGTGTTACAAAGTTTCTCCAGAATTTGTGTGGGTTTTTGGGGTTTTTTTGGTTAGGCTTCTTTGCATACTACATTGTTGCTTTTTAGATGGTTCGGTTTGTTGTTGGAGGGTAGAGATGTTATGATTTGCTTATATTACTTTATATAAGTCTCTTAACTTTTCTATGATTTCAAATAATATGTATATAAATTATTTGTTTTCTAGAACATCGTATTATGTGCAATAATGTTTTCTTCCTTTTCTAGTCCCTTATGTTCTATTTCTTTTGCTTGATGCGTTGCTCCACTTGTTGCTAGGATCTCTGGTACAAGGGTTTTTAAAATTTTATTTATGGGAGATACTTTCAGGGGTTTTTGTTTGTTTTGGGAAATATATGACCAACTTAAGGAAGTTCCCTTCTACTCCTGTTTGTGAAGAGGATTAGTTTTTATTTTATTTTAAAATCACGAGGGGACTTCCAGTCAAGAAGGCAGCACAGGCAGACGTGATTTACCACTTTGCACAACCACATCAGCATTACAACTACAGTGTAGAACCGCCATTGCTCAGAACCATCAGAAATCGAGTTGAATGGAAGTCTGATAACTACGGGATTAAAGACACCACCTCCATCCAGGCTGGTAGGAGGGGCACAGGTGTGGAACAGGCTGCTCCCTTACCCTCAGGTGGTGGATAAAAATTCAGGAGGGGGATATCTTGGGACCAAGGAGTCCCAGCCCCACACCAGGCCCCCAAGCCAAGGGTTCCAGTGCTAGGAAGATAAGTCCCCACAATTTCTGGCTGCAAAAACCATTGGGGATTGAGTCAGTGGAAGGAACTTCTGGAACCCCAAGCAGTTCCTCTTAAAGAACCCACACAAATATTCACCTACTCAGACTCACTTCCCTCTGAGCTCCAGCAACGGGGTGGCAGCTTGAAAGGCACCAGTGGTTCACAGGGAGAAACTGAAGTGTCTGGCATCGAGGCGAGCAGAGGCCATTGTCTCTTTTCTAACCAGCCCCCCTCGCCCCCATAGAGCCAGCAAGCTGCTGCCATATCTGAGACTCCATCAGCCTGGCTAACACTGTTTAACTGGCCTTGGAGACCCCCAGAGACTCTGTCCCACCTAAGCTGCTTTTCCACATGAATGGCTAGTCTTGGCTCATGCTTCACAGCTTCCTAAATCCTATCAAACAAGTTAACAGCTGGCCTCACGGAGCCCCAGGCCTGGCACTAGCAGCAGCCAGCCCAGATTGACAGCTTGGCTTTGCCTGGGAATCTCCAAGCCCAGCACAAGTAGCAGCCATCTCAGATCGCTTTATAACTCAGGAAGGGTGGCCCTGGTCAAAATATGGGTGGGGGATGGCCTTGGTCAATACCACCTGGGAAACCACAGGGCCAGAGCATTCAGCAGACAGCTACAGACCACATCAGAGCACCACCACCCTGCCCCTGCATAGCTGATCCTCCACGGAGGGCAGAGGTTGGTGGAAAGAGGTCACAGCCAATTCTTAGAAGTGACTGGCCTGGGTAAATCCCTCCCATTGACCTACTAACAGTGACCAAGAGAAGGGTGTACTCAGCCCACACAAAGCGCGCACTTCAAGTACCCAGCTTAGGTGATAGGGGAGGCTGTGCCCCTGGACCCTACAGGACACCCACCACGTGAGGCAACACTACCAAGACACAGAGTCAGAGTAGCTCTACCTAATACACAGAAACAAACACAGGGAGGCTGTCAAATTGAGGAGACAAAAAACTATGGCTCAAACAAAAAAACAAAAAACAGAACAAAACTCAAGAAAAAGAACTAAATGAAATGGAGATAAGCAACCTATCAGACACAGAGTTCAAGACACTGATGATCAGGATGCTCAAAAAACTCATTGGGTACAGCGATAGCATAAAAAAACTCAGGCAGAAGTGAAGGTTGCATTGAGTGAAATAAAGAAAAAGCCACAGGGAACCAACAGTGGGGAGGATGAAGCCAAGAATCAAATCAACAACATGGAACATAAGGAAGAAAAAAGCATTCAATCAGAACAGCAAGAAGAAAAAAGAATTAAAAAAAAAACAAAAAAACAAGGATAGAATAAGGAGCCTCTGGGGCATCTCCAAATGTACCAATATTCAAATCATAGGGATGCCAGAAGGAGAAGAGGAAGAGGAAGAAATTGAAACCTTATTTGAAAAAATAATGAAAAAAAAACTTCTTTAATTTGGTGAAGGAAATAGACATACAAGTCCAGGAAGCACAGAGAGTCCCAAACAAGTTGGACTCAAAGAGGACCACACCAAGAAACATCATAATTAAAATGCCAAAGGTTAAAGATAAGGAGAGAATCTTAAAAGCAGCAAGAGAAAAGCAGATAGTTACCTACAAAGGAGTTCCCATTAGACTATCAGCTAGTTTCTCAAAAATACTTTGCAGGCAAGAAGGGACTGGCAAGTATTCCGTGATGAAAAGCAAGGACCTACAGCCTAGATTACTCTACCCAGCAAAGTGATCATTTAGAATCGAAGGGCAGATAAAGACCGTTGCAGACAAGGTAAAACTAAAGGAGTTCATCATCATCACCAAGCCATTATTATATGAAATGTTAAAGGGACTTATTTAAGAAAAAGAAGAGCAAAACTATGAACATTAAAATGGCAACAGATTCACAACTATAAACAACTGAATCTAAAAAACAAACTAAGCAAACAAGCAGGACAGGAACAGAATCATAAATAGGGGGATCATTTGGAGGTTATCACCTGGGGGGGGAAGGGGGAGACTGGGGGAAGAGGTGCAGGGATTAAGAAGCATAATTGGCAGGTACAAAATAGAGGGATTTTAAAAAGTGTATAAGAAATGGAGAAGCCAAAGAACTTACATGCATGACCCATGGCCATGAACTAAGGGGGGACTGCTTGAGGGAGCGGGGGTACGAGGTGGAGGGGGGCGGGGGGAAAAACTTGGGACAACTCTAGTAGCATTATCAATAAAATAAATATTTTAAAAAGCATTCAATTGCAGATGACTCCACTGGTGATTCTATCATGCTTGCTTTAGATTTAAACTTTGGCAAGAACATTACTACCTGAAAGACATTCAATGAAATAATAAGTATTCCTCCCCTTTCTTTAAAGAATGTATTTTTCTAATGCTTGGCGTATGATATAATTGTATGCATTCAGAACACTTTTGTTTTATTGACTGGTTGATTTTAGAGAGAGTGAGAGAGAAGCATCAATGTGTTGTTCCACTTATTGATGCTTCACTGGTTGACTTGTGTGTGCGCCCTGACTGGGGATCAAACCCACAACCTTGGAGTGTCAGGACAACACACCAGCCAATGAGCTCCCCGGCCAGGGCAAACATTGGTTATTTTAATGGAAATAAAGTACCTTCACTTGGATTTTCATCTTGTGCACCTGGTATTCTGGCACGAATACCATCACCAGGAGTTTGACCTTTTTAAAACGGGAGACAGAGCGGAGCTTCAGGAGTTTGTAGGGCCACTTCAGAACCAGGGCTAAGGACAAGCCTCTCTCCCCTTCCACGCCGTGACACTGCAGGTTCTAAGGTGGCTTTCCCCGCTGGCTCTGGACACCTGGTGTTTAATTCCCTGCTGCTCTTTGTCCACACACTCGAGAGGAGTGGTCCTGCCCCAGAGATGTGTGTGGGCCACCGAGACAACCCCCTCCACTCCTTTGTCCCAGATCACGAACATGGAAGATCCAGTTTGCTCTGCTTCCCGGGCGGAGGTTTCAGCACCCAGACTGCACGGACTGTGTGAGGATTTTATCTAGTGGGTTTTGGTATAACGTGTAGAAGTTATAAATGAAAAACACAGGAATTTGGAGTGAGTCATCTTTCCCCCCAAATGACAGTTAAGAAGAAAGGACAGCAAAACAGAGTAAAACGATCCTCTAGGGGTCCTTCAGGAAATCCAATCATCGAGCCTAACAAAAATGAATGTAACTTTCTGTGATCAAAATAAATGAACACCCATTTAGGGATATACATGTTGGAAATAGTTTTCTAAATGCTTAAAAACAAGCTTAGGTTACTTCTGAAACAAATGTTGATTTTCTTCTGTGGTGGAAGATATCACTCTGATGGAAACTTCTGATATGAGGGGCGTCTGGCGACAAGGGTGGGTGTCTTCCTCCCGTGCAGGGCAGATCTTTCCACTGTGGGTGGGCCGCACCCGAGGACCGCAGTTGGGGGTGAGTTCCACTCGGTGGGGCTGAGAGAGTGATCGTTATCTGTGTTTTTAAACAGGGCTCTTTAATAAAGCACAAAGCTATCGTTTTCACCAAAAAGAATCTGAGAAAAATGGTTCACTTAAAAAAACCTTCATAACATTCTTGCAGTGTCAAATCATAAAGGCTGGTCAGGAAATAACGGGCCATTCTCTGTGAGCCCTGGAAACAGACCTTCACGCCGAGGTATGCGCACGACACAGTTTGGGGTTTCTTTTGCTCCGAACAGCTGACGTGCTGTTCACGTAAAAACGACTCCTGCTTTAATGTCAATACTGACCTCAATAGCTGTAGTTCAAACTGACTGTCACTGAAGCCTCGCAAACATGTCTTGCACAAATTCACTGAAGGGGCAGATTCTGACAAACCCACTGAGGGGCTGACGGAAACACAAAGACCCTTCACTGAGCCGGGTGCTCTGAAGCGGGCACCAGGCAAAGGCACGAAGGTAAAGGACCCACCTGCTGCCAGAGCAACTGGCAAGTACAACCTGAGAAGAGACGCAATGGTACCCGGACGACTACGTGCCAGGAACGGCTGGAGCTTTGGGGATGGGGAGAGAGCTGTGCGCGCACCTGTGCTGGGTGGGGGGCACGCTCTGGGGGGGGGGTCTTCCTGGGGAGGAGCAGGAAATACCAGGCTGTGTGCTTCCCAGGAGCGAAGGGCTCAGGAAAGTGGCGGGGAGGCCAGTGGCTGGGATGGAGGGGACATGAAGGATGCTGTGGGGTCAGCTGGGACGAGATACCTAGATCTTATCAGCCATGTTAAGAAGGTGGAATTTTAAACGATGGACACTGGATGAGGGGCCAGGGAAGGGCTTTGACCAGATTTGGAAATTAGGATGATTTCTCTGACCACAGTGAAGAAAAGGGGTTAAACAGACTGGGGCTCCTCCAGGTGAG